AATTTCACCCTCTTGCCTTTACCCTTGCATATATATATATATATATATATATATATATATATATATCTTACATTACGATGTGTTACATATGCACCTGAATGCTTTATGTCATTTTGTTTACTGAACTTTTCTCTTAAAAACTGTTTATTTTCTTACATTTTTTGTACTTCATTATTTGACAAAACGTGAATTTAGCAATTTCGCTCGGACTTGATTGGTTAGCAGTTGAAGTTGGGCAATGCAACGTCTTTATCATTGAACTACCAAAAAAACGAAGAAAAAGAAGAAGAAGGGCATTTGGATAACAACATCATTGTACTAGTACTAGAATTTTTTATGCCTTCTTAAATCTAAATCTGGACTTTTCCTAGTCAGTGTATGCTACTTGATGATTGCATTTCTTCATCTTGTTCTTCTTTTTTGGCTAGTTAGTGTTTTCACATTGCTTCAGTAATATGCTTATTTTGTTGGGTTTCTGCGGCCATTGAAGATCTTATGAGAGCATGTAATCAATACTTGATATAGTGGAATAATGCACTCCAGTGGGAATGTGGTCCAGAGGGACCAAGAGATTAGAGAGACGAAGAGATTATGGTATAGAGTGATGGAGATATGCAAATGTTATTTGTCAATACTCAGACTTGACTTAACGTTCTAGGCCAGTTGAGTTGGAAAACTCTTAATTTGCTGGGCATAGAGCACAACCGATAAGAGTTAGCAGGGTCATCCCTTGATGTGGTCGGAGTTGCCCAGGGTAGAAAGCCAAGGGACTGTGTGACCTTTATTTGTGCTCGTAAGCCTGTAGAGACGAGGGCCAAAGCCTCATCATTAAACCTTCACACAGCATGAGCATATGATAGCCGTATTGGAAAGCGAATCACCATTGAGGGTTATGCATGTATATGTGCGAGAGATTATTCCTATACATCATAGAGCTATTATCACACCAGGACTGAGCAACCTTGGACTTGTCTCTAGGGGAGAACCTATAATTCATAGATTAGGATTGTGTCTCCTCACCTATTGGCTGGCTTTGGTAGCCCAATCATGAACCCCTGCGATGGTCTGTGAGTCATGAGAAATGTTGAGTCCATTTGAGAAAGTGAGTGTGGACTCTAGTCCTTAGTAGAAGATGGAGTGCTTCAGCAAATTAATAATTCCTTGACCTAGTTGGATCCGAATCCCATCAAAATTATTTAGAGTTAATTATTTTGATCTTACGTGATTTTTAGATTGATAGTTTGAATTTTTAGAAGTCTCTAGATATTTTAGTTTCTCAAAATGGATTTATAAATAGAGAAAAACTGAATTTTCAGTATTTTAAATATTCAAAGAGAAAATTAAATAGTAAACTTTTTCGAAAAATCATTTTCTTTATTTGAAAATTCATGTTGGGGGCTCGTCCATTTTATTCCTTGGGCCCCACTAAAATAGAGCATGTGGGGCCCACTTGTTGGGTTTTTGTGGCCTTTAAAGGCCTAAAGAGCTTGTAAAAAAATGATATATAGTGGAATATGCACTTCAGTAGGGGCGTGTGTTGACTGACCAAGGGTTAGGCGGTTTATGGCCTTGATCTTATCTAAAACCCTTGGCGCGGGGTATGTGACACATCCAAAAAGGGTTTGAAGTGGGTCATCCCTTGTTGAGGTCGAAGAGATGCCCAGGGATCATGTTTGTAGGCCGGGAGAACTGTGTGGTCTCATGTGTGTGGTTGTAGGCCTGTGAGAGCAAGGGTCAAATCCTGAACTGACTTCAGCACATCGTGTATATATGATAGTTGCATGGGATGCAACCTTTTTTATAGGGACACGTGTACATATGCATTGAGAGAGTCCGCTTTGCACTATAGTGACATGTGCTAGACTTACTCCTAAAAGGAGAATTGTAATCTACATTCCAGGATCATAGTCCCACTGTTTTATTATCTAACTTTGACAAGCCAATCATGAGCCCCTGCAAAGAGACTGGAATTGTAATCCACATTCCAAGTCATGAGACTTTTGTTGGGTTGGATAAGAGAACATTTGTGGATCATGGTTTCTGGGGCCAGTGGAGTACCTTTAGTGTCGCATATTTTGATCCAATGGTATTAGTCCACTCCTAGTATATTTTATTTTGGTATTATAAATGTTTTTTTGATTTTTTAATATTTCTTCAGAATCTTAAAATATTATTTCTGCAGTAAATTTTCATAAAAGGTCATTTTTGAAAATTTTGAGAACTTAAAAATAACACATCTGGGACCAAGGATCCAACCCATGTGGCACTTTGTGCACCCTAGGGATCACACCTATTTTGTTCAGCAATATTTGATGCACCCTATTTTATTACCGAAGGGGTGTCACGCCACTTTTTTTAACAAACAGGGGGCCACATTTTTTTTATTGAGAGAAAAGGGGGGTTAAGCCACTTTTTGTGGTACAATCCCCCCATGCTTTTTTTGTTAGGAAGAGAGGGGCACACCCCCCTTATTTTAAAATCAAATTTAAATTTGATAAATCCAAAGATTTGAGATCTAATGAGATATGGTTTCTCAAATATTGTGGAAAATCTAAATTAGATTTATCTAGAAAATATTTTAAGTTTGATTTCAAATTTAAAAGGATAAAGTTTAACTTTGATTGGTTTGATTTTAAATAGCAATGGATTGGGTCAAAGTGTAAGGGGATAAGGTTTCTAATTTTTCCTCCCAAAATCATAATGGCTGATTTTTGGGATGGATGGCTTTGATTAAATCTCTCACCCCACAGATTTTCTATTTATCTTATATGGTGTAGCTGGAAATTGGATAAGACAAATCCTATTCAAACTAGAAGATAAGTTTTCTCTAGATCGCTTTCTATTTAAAGACGAGCCTATTTGAGATCCAATAACAGGATTTTGTATTGCTTCTTAGAGATTTTTCTCCCTCACGTAGCAATTATTGGGATCTCTCTTCTCCTCACGCACCAAATTTGGGGGAGACCTCTCTCTCTTCCTCAAATTTGGGGATCTCTCTCTCCTCTCCATGTCAATAAGAAGTTCATCTGTCTCTCTTTTGTTTTACCACGCCATCTCTCTCTTGACCTAAAGAAAGGCATACCATCTCTCTCTCTTCACCTAAAGAGAGGCACGCCCTCTCTCTAAGACATACCACCTCTCTTTCTCTGTCCTCTATATTTTTGTCTTGAAAGAAAATTAAAGGTGGCCTATTTTACGAAAAATTAGAGGTGGCCTATTTGAAGTGAAACCCTAAACTAGGGTTTTCTGTATTTTTCAAAGGACGAAGAGAGAAGCATAACTTAGAGAGATATCATCTCCGAGATCAGCCCTATTTTGTTCCCATAGGGTTTTTATAAATCCTAGGTTATTTTTGAGCTCTCTTAAACCCTAGGGAAAGAAGGATAGCAGACAAAGCTTCCCTGTCTAAGAGTTTCCAGCAACACCTTAAGGAGGAAAAGTATGCCATTGGTCTGGGAATGGGGTATGGGCTGTATCATGTCCTGGTTGAGTAACTCCAGGCATCTTTCAGTAAGTCTTCCCATTAATTTTTTTTTATTTTTCAGTTTTATTTTTTATTTTTCTATAAGTTTTCAGGAACTTATAGTTTGTTAAAAAATTATTATAAAAGCTAGTTTAAAGTTCCTGGATGGTTTCTACTTCTTTTGGCAGCAAAATAAAGATCTTAGATTATATTGAGGGCATTGTTTTTATTTTTCGGCAATATAAGGAGCTTGTCCCATAAAAGAGAGAACTTTCATATTCTAGTGGCTTGTGAAAGAAGCCATGCACTTTTGATTGAAATTTATGGAAGTGCAGAGATTTTGATTGAAACAAGAAAGGAAAGTTTTGAAAATTAAAGGATTTTCAAGTTAAAGTATGTGTAAGAAGATTATGGAAAAGAAAGGCATGTATAATATATTTTTTATATTACTTTGATTTGTGAGGAGTAGGTTAAGAAAGTTGAAGGATAAGGTTCTAGCACATTCCTTTAATTATGATGGCTGATCTAAGGATTGTATGGCTAAGATCTCTCATCCCACAGGTCTTCTTTGATCAATGATTTGGATCTAATCCCCGTAAGGATGGCTAATCGTAAGAAACCCTAACCTCAGAGAAAGTCTATAAATAGGGACTCTTTCTCTTCAAAATCTTTACACCTCTCATCTCTCCCTCTTGATGTCTCTAGCCCATCTCTCTCTCTCATAAAAAATATTGAGTAGAAAATAGGGGGCATGCCCCACCTAGTCCAAGAGAGCGGCATGCCCCACCTAGTCCAAAAGAGCGGCATTCCGAAGCCTAATTCATGTTGCATGTTCCACCTTTGTTCTCATATTGATTAAGGTTGTAGCCTATGATTTCCCATGCTTCAAAGATTTGAGATAGACCATTGATCCCATGCGCCATTGAAGGAGAAGATCTGGATTGGGGTGTACAAAGTGCAGTTTAGGTAATCTTCTGGCAGTCTTATTTATGGGTTGCAATCTTATCTTTTCTTGTTCCCATGAATATTATGTATTTCATGATCCCAAAATCAAGTTTATGCAATTTCGTTTGTGTATTAAAAAATTGTTAAAATGGCAGCAAGAGAGAGTCCTTGGGTTTCTTTTGAGTTTTTATTGTTTCTTATAATGTATTTGGACTCTTGTAAATAATCCGAGTGTTGAAAATAAAAGAAAAGAAGAAAAATTTTAATTGGTATACATTTGCCCTGGTTACGTAGTCCTGCTTTCATATTTTTTGTTAGTTGATATAGTGTTTGATACACCATATTATGGAATATGTTGAGACAATTTTTCTATGATTATAAATTCCAACATTTCTTTGCTTTTGATGTCACATCTAACCATGTATTGGAATGAATGTATTCTTATCAGAATTCCAGCACTTTGAGAACAATCTTTCCAATTTACCTTTGGTTGCATGAGGCCTGATATTGTCAAATTCTGTTTTCATTGTAAGGATTAATACTGGAGATATTTGAATTTTAACTTATTGTTCTAATATGTGATTTCTTTTAGATGCTGAGGTTCTCATTGTCATGGTCACAAATGAGGTTCAGGTGGAGAGCGTTTTATTTGGGGAAAATGGATCAATATCAGGCATGTCAATCGCCTTCCTTAGAGTATACTATCCTTTTCTGTTGCTTATGTTCTTATTGTTCTTTTATTTCTTGTTCTTGCAGCTCTACCCGTGGGAGCATCTATTATTGTGTCATCCACTGTTTCCCCTGGATTTTTGAAGAAACTGGAAGCACGCTTATGTGGTTAGTCTTTTGTCCCTGAAAATTCTGTTTGTCAGTTCAAGATGGATATATTTATTGAATAGTGGCCTCTGTTGAGCCATTCTTTAAAACTTTTTATTCTTATTGCCGTCAATGTTTTTTCACATTTCTTTATGTTCTTGTAATATGCATTCAACACCCTTATTCTTTCATTTGTATTGTGATGTTTTGTATTAAGAACATAGGTTTTTCCCGTCTTCATTTTGAATTTGATACACTTTGTCATATAGTTTATTATTTATTATTTATTATTTTTCTCTTCATTGGATAATTATTCAATTACTTTTGTTTTGTATCATTGAGATTATACACCGAACCCATGTCGAGCCAACTTCTCCCGAACCCTGAACCACACCAAACCCACATCGAGCCAATTTGACCAGATAATTAATCAATTAGTTTTGTTTTGTAGAATTAAGATTATACTGCGAGAAATCAATGCTCCAATATTATACTGCGAGAAATCAATGCCCCATGTTCATTTATTTTTCAATTTTTTTTTAATGCTTCTGAAGGCAAAGTGGTGCTTCCTTATTCTTTCATTTGTATTCTGATGTTTATGATGTGATATTCTTTACCAAGAACACAAAGGATTTTCCTGTCTTCATTTTGAACTTGATCCACTTATGCATATAGTTTATTAAAATTTTTATTTTAATTTTTGTCTTCATTGGATAATTATTCAATTAGTTTTGTTTTGTAGATCTGAGATTATACTACCAGAAATCAATCCCCAAGTTCATTTATTTTCCAAAGGTTTTGTTTTTAATGCATCTGAAGGCAAAGTAGTGCTTCATGGTGTGGGTTATTGGATTGTGTCCTAGTTATGATTTGAGGGCTTGCTTTCGTGGTTATGTTTATGGTTATATTATTGTATATGTAAATTCTAAGCTTATAAATGAGTATGGTTGCCATTGGATTATGGAAAGAAATACTGACGTGAATCATCCAAAATTTTGTGATAAGTTCTTTGGGAAAAATTCGTACATTAGCCCGGGGAGTTCTTTAAGGAACCCAAAGGTTTGTTTTAGTAAATTATTCTTCTTGTGGTATAGGAGAGGTAACTTGGAAATATCTTGAATTTGAGGGCTGTTGCATTTTTGGTATCCTACCAGAATAGTTGTTAAATGGATCTAATTGAGATTGTCTTGGTTCCTTCTGGTACATAGCATGTTTGCAGATAGTAGGAGAAAAAGCCTCATGATATGATTGATGCATGTTTTAGAATTAAGGTTAGTGGGTGAAAAACTCCCAAAAATGGTGAGTTTACTTTTTTCATTGGTAAATAACTGATGATTTGATGAGCATCCTGCAAATCATTTGTAGGTGCCTCATATAGATGGTGATAAAATCAATTGCTAAGTCCTTCATGTATAGTTGGATTATAATTGCTAGTTAAATGGATGAGTACATTTTACACCAGCGGATTAAATACAAAATAATAATTACTTAACTTGGTTGCATGACATAGCCATTTTTGTGAAAGCCAAATATAAATTGTGTTATGTCAATGGTACAACCAAGGAATTGCTTCATAATCTCTGAAATTCACTGTGGTACATAAATGTTATGGTTCCTAAAGTCGATGGAGAAAAATGTGAGTAATGGGTTTTCATTTAAACAACAGAAAAGAATCTGGAGCACAGTAAGTTGTTATGTACGTAGGGATGATGTCATACGTATCTATCAACTAGATGGAGGCAGTCTACGAAAGGGAACAGGTCTCATCAGGGACATATCTTCAAAATTTTTAACAGCTTCTAACTCTATTTTGTGATTCCATTTCAATTTTTTATGCTAGATACAATTATAGAAAGGAGGTTTTTTATTTTATTATTTGTTTATTTCGTCTTTTTTTTTGGATACTTAAGTAGTGGAATTTGGAAAATGGATGTTGTGATGTCTTCCATTAACTCCTTAACTATTGAGCCCACTACCTTAATCTCAGGATGAGGATAGGTTGACTACATGTTGTAAACTATACCTACAACTTACATGATGTGCATTTTTATTAGTTGGCCAACAATTTTATGACCTATGCTGCTTTATATCTCTTTTATTGTCATTTTTGGATCAACAATATGCAGCGAAAATTCAAGATAACAGCTGTAAATTGTTTGGATTCATTTGATCTTTGTTCTTTCTATAAATTGGTCAATATAATAACTTGTCAGTACAAAACTGTGGCTTTGGATAGTTGAGATCAATAGTCATTGAAAATCTTTTTCATGGAGTATATTTCTTTGTATGATTCTCCCTACATACATATCCTTCCATGTCGAAAACTTTACTCAAAGTTGGCTTTCTGATATATCTCAGAGGAACGGCAGGATCTAAAGTTGGTTGATGCACCTGTCTCTGGTGGTGTTTTGAGGGCGTCAAATGGAACACTCACAGTATGAACTTTAATTTGGTTTTTCTTCCATTCCTTTCTTTCTTCAGTACATTTTTTGTTTCTGCAACAAATTTATTAATAGAAGGATTCTTACTCGGCATAGTGAGTAAGAAACAAATTTTTTTGTTTCTTCAGTACATAGTGATAGTGGAGTTAACCCTAGATTTGAATACTGATATTATGTTATTAAAAGGTAATGGCTGCTGGTACTGATGAAGCTCTGAAGTGTACGGGTTCTGTCCTTTCAGGTAGACACATATGATATACATGGCTTATCAAAAAATGTTGTTTCTCATGGATATTCAAATTCTCCTATGTATTTCTTTCTAATATTAATTTTTATTATTGAACAGCAATGAGTGAGAAGCTTTACATTATCAGGGGTGGTGTTGGAGCAGCAAGGTACAGAAACCACATGTTTTATACGGTTAACGTAGAGGAGACTGAAGTTCATATTGGTGAAGAATTAGTGAGCATTGGATATTTGCCCATAAATAATAACAATGATGCTCAATCTCATGGAACTTTTGTGTGCGTACACTGAACGTTCTTGTTCCTTAAACTTAATATACTTTCATGTGGTTTGCAGTTCGGTGAAGATGGCAAATCAACTCCTTGCTGGAGTTCATATTGCAGCAGCAGCTGAGGCCATGGCATTTGGTGCGCGGCTGGCACTAAGCACTAGAGTTTTATTTGAGGTCATAATGAGCAGTGAAGGAAATTCCTGGTAAAATCTGTTGAGAAGTTTGAAAGACTTTGGCATGGTTTTCTAGGAAAAATAATATTAAGACTCAAACTACCTAGAAAAATCAATGGGATGGTTAAATGAACAAAATATTCTGAACAAAGTGATTACCTTTTAAAAAGCTTTTTATTTAGGTACCTCCTCAAGAATTTTGTTATAAGTACTCAACTGCCCTTGTTCTAGGTTTGTAATCCTAAACAAGTAGGGGAATTTGGTAATTCTCTCAAGTCAAATGACTGAAATACCTTTTTTTGTTCTGGATTCCAAACACATAATGTATTTTTTTCATTAAATGAAACCCAGGAAGCATTTTGTTAATTTTTTCCTACTTAAGTCACTTGAGCCAAAAGATGCTAATTTACTTGATTGTTCTGGGTCTCAAACTAGGAACAAGACAATGGGAAAACATGTTCTAGATTGGGAATCTAAGACAAGCAGGGGTGTTAATATCATTTGGCTCGAGTAACTTATGTTGCCAAGTTACTGAAATGCCCTCAATTGTTTCTGGTTGCAAACCCAAACAGGGGGCCATTTTGGGCATTTTTTAATGAAATAGCTGTGCAGGTACGTATGTGAAATGATTTCTTTAGAGTAGCCAATGTATCTGTGAATTAGTTGATTTGATGTTTTTAGATGGTTGGTCATTTCATTGATATTTTCCCTTATTTTTATTTATATGTGATGTATATAGGGATGGTTATAATGTGTCAACTGTTGTTTTTTATATTTTACTGCTCTTCGGGCTGGTCAAAGTGTTTTTTTATTCGTTTCATGATTTTTCCTCTTCCTATATGTTAGATGCGTACTTGTAAACAAAAAAATAAATACTATATGGTTGGTCAAACATCATTGATGATATACTCCATGTGAACTGTCTTGACTATGTGAATTGTCTTGACCAGTCGAAGGATTGTCTTGTGCATCATTCTCCCCCTGTTGGGAATAACTCAACCTTGAGTTCGGCTCTTCTTGTATTGCTGCATTGGGTATGTGGTACTCAAAAGATCACCAATATTGAACACATTCGAGGTCTCAATCTCTACTGGAAGGTCGATCTTATCTACATTGTATCCCATCTTCTTGAGCACTTGAAACAGTCCAAACTTCCTGTTATTCAACCTATTGTATTTTCCCATAGGATGTCTATTTTTGCGTAGATAAATCACCACCAAATCGCCCACCTGAAACTCTTTGAATCACTTATATTTATCGGCAGCTTCCTTGTACTTGCTAATGGTAGTCTCCAAATTAGCTCGATCTTGGTTATGGACATCCTTCATGTGATGTATCACATATTGTCAGCATCTAAGTGTCCTTCCCCATCAACTAGTAGAGGAGTTAAGTTTAGCGTGTGGGTAGGATTCTGCTCGTACACAGCCTCAAATGGGCTCTCACCAATTGACCTATTGCAGGAACTGTTGTATTTGTGGCAAAGCCAAGTCCTGTTGTATCACCTTGTCACGCACTATGCTCTGAAGAAGATTACCAAGGATTTGGTTAACCACCTCGTTTAACCATTAGTCTGTGAGTGATAAGCTCTGTTGAACTGGAGCTTGGTACCCTTCTTGTGCCATAAAGTTCCCAAATGTGGCTGAGAAACTTGGTATCCCTAATCGATGTAATCGTTTTGGGAATCCGATGAAGTCTCACCACCTCACGGAAATATAAGTTCACCACATGAGTTGCATCTAGAGCCTTCTTGCAAGCAATGAAGTGGCCATCTTGAAAACTTGTCAACCACAACAAATATAGAGTCCGAACCTTGTTGAGTCCGATAAAGACCCAACACGAGGTGCACTGGGAATGGGAAGTGGAGAATATAAACATGTGTTATGACACTGCGCCTTTGCAACTTGACCTACTTTGCACCTCTCCACATGCCTAGCCACATCTCATCTAAATTTGGGCCAATAATACTTGGACTCAACCAATGCAATGGTTTTGTCTCGCCCAAAGTGTCCCCCCCCCCAAATACAAATTTTAGCTATGAAATAAGGACCTCTCTAAGAGAACCGAGCGAAGTGCATAGTTGATTCCCTTTGAAGAGAAACCCATCTTGTACCACATAACTCCTACACTGCTACCTTGGCAATGCACCCAAATCTCTCCAAAATTATCATCATCAATATAAAAGTCACGCAAGACGCTCTCCAACTCAAGGCATCAACGACTTTATTCTGACTCACAACCTTATGAGAAATACAAACGTAAACTCTTGGAAATATGCCACCCACCTACATTAATAAAAAAAAAAGAAGCTACCCACCTACATTAATAAAAAAAAAAGAAGCTACCCACCTAGCGTTTTGGCTATTAACCTTTTGCTGCCCATTAATATACTTTAACGCCTCATGATTTGAAAATAAAATAAACTCCTGATGAATAAGATAATGATGATGATGTCATAAAGGCTGAAGGATCACATAAAATTCCACGTCGTATGTGGAGTACCTTTGGCACGTGTCATTCAGCTTCTCTGTAAAGTATGTTATTAGTCTACCCTTCTAGCTCAAACCAGCCCCAATACGTATATGCGAGGCATCATCCCTAGCTCTAATATTTTATTAAAGTCTAAAAATGCTAACACCAGCAGCTCAGTCATAGCCTAATTAATCCTCTCAAGGCTCTTTCGTACTTCAGTGGTCCATTTGAAGAAACCCTTCTTCAAACAATCAGTGAGTGGTGCTATGATGTGCTAAATCCTCTAATGATTCGTCGATAAAAAGTGGTTGCCCCATTTCTCATTGCTGCCATCTCCTTCAGCCACCTTGATTACATCAGCAAAAATGACAAAATCCCAGGAAATCAAACTATTGCACATGAATACACACTTCTTCAAATTTGTATGTAGTTGCTCCTCTTGTAACAGCTCCAACACGAGCCTTAGATGGTCCACATGCTGCTCTTCCCTAAGGCTATCATCAAAGTGTACCACCACAAACTTTCCTTATAGATGGCTTAAAGATTTTGCTCATGGCCCTCATAAATGTGCTAGGTACATTTGATAACCCAATGGCATAACCAGCCGCTCAAACAATCTCTCTAGTTTATTAAAACACTATCTTCCATTTATCACCAGACCTGATTCTGATTTGATGTAACTACTTATGAAGACTATTTTAGAGAAAATCGTAGCCCCCTCCAACTTATCTAACATACCATCAAGGAGTAGGATCAGAAAGCGGTATTTTACAGTAATTTTATTAACTGTTCTGTTGTCGACATACTTGCATTAGGAACCATCATTCTTGGGTGGCAACCATGTTGACACTGCACATGGGCTCATACTCTCCCTGATAAACCCCTTATGCAGCAACTCTGAAACTGGCCTCTGTAACTCCTTATGCTCCTTAGGACTAATTCTATCGGCCGACTTATTTGGGAGGCTAGAACCTGGGAGGAGGTTGATGTGATGTTCACTTTGGCGGTAAACCCATTGGATGATCATCTGGTATGACATCATTGAACTCCCTTTTCAATGGCTTTAGCTTAGGAGGAAGGAATCCTTTTCTTCAAGCGGCATCGCACAATACAACACATCCAACTCACCCAAATCCCTCATGAAATCCGTCAAAGATAAGAGATTAGTGCTGCACTTTTCTTATTTTGAAGCACTTTCCATCTTACAGGGTCCCAAAATCTTTAATTCCATCCTTGATAAAGGAGTATGTTTTTCTGAAACCATCATGAGTGCTATGCCTATCATACTACCATGGTCTACCTAACAACAAATGACAGGCATCCATCAGCACTCCATCTCCCCATATTTTGTCTTTTTATGTTTCTCCAATAGATAAAGGACCAAGACATCGTTTAGAAATAGTTACCTCAACGCCTTCTTGAACCACTCAATTTTATAAGTCTTTGGATGGTTTTCTGTCTTGAGCTTAAGCTTATCAACCATCTCCGGAGGAACCATGTTTTCGCAATTCCCTCTATCAATAATTAGATCCCACACTTTCCCATGTGCAAGAGGGTATGAAATATGTGAGTGTATAGAAACCAATTCCATTGAAGGAAAAATTGGGCGGTCTAATCGGTAACCACCTGGTTAGATCGTAACCAGCCACTGGCCGGTTCCGGTGTTGGTCACTGGCCAAGTATTTTAACAAAAAAAATAAGTTTTTTTCTAAAATCCTAAAAAATAAGAGATTTTACTTGTAATGCACTTTTTAATGTTTTCATCATTATGGAAAAGATTGGAAATTGTTTTGGCCATTAATACTTATTTTTTAATTTTCCCATCTTTTTTGAAAACATTCAAAAATACCCTTGGGCACAAATCGATTCTTTAATATTGTAAATATGTACTACATAAATAAAATATATTATATAATATTATATTACATAAATATATTATATATAATACAAATGTATATTTATAATCAAAATATAAACAAAAAATTGTATATTTGATATTTATTTTAATATTGTAAATATCTATTACATATTTATATATTATATTAATTTTCAGCTTCATTTGGATGTGCTTTGTTTAATCGTCCTTTAAATATAATTTTCATATTTTATTAGATTTTTTTTTTGTATTTTGTTTTATTTTTTTTACACTTTTTGACTGCCCAGGACTTGCTTGGTTAGAACGGTTGAACTGACCGGTTTATTGGTTAGGCCCGTTGAACCGCTTCCACGCCTATGCCTGGTTAACCGTTCCGGTTTGATTTTTCGTACACTGACCAATTCTCTTGACTTGAACTACAAAGTAAACAAAAACAAGCCAATACGCCTTGAATTTTTCAATACACTTTGAAATTACAACTAATAAAAACAAATTTTAGCAAGATCATTGTAGTTATAGTGATCTATTGACTTTCAACTCACTGAGAGGATACAACTCAAATTGGGGTCCCTTGCGTATGAACAAAACAATTTACAAAAGGAGATCATCAAGCTACACATGTATAATGTCCATTTGAAAATTCAGCACCATTCAAAGTTGCAAAGCAAAATTATACATCAATGAATTCATAGAAGTTCATCACAACATGATCTCCATTATATCAATATACATATGCTCAAGTGTGCAACTATGGGAAGCCAATCAGAGCTCTCCGGTGTCCGATATACGGCCTTGGGCCTTAGCTATGTGCCATTGTATGGCATGCGGTGGCATGACACAAAATCGGGCCTATTCATCGTCTAATCAAGTGAGAAGCCAATCATTTACTGATTCACACTTAATCATGGAAGGATTTGTAAAGCTCTAAAGAACAAATCAAGTGGGGAAAGAGTGGGAGAAAACCATGCTCTTAAAACACAAAACCTGTTAAATTGAGTTCACAATCCGGCACACAAAAATTTGGCATAGTCTCTTCTTATAAAATCCATAATTCAAGATATCAAGAAGAGGAGACCTAGCTTTCCTTATACAAAGAAGAGACCTCAAAACCCCAGATAAGGCCTAGTTTTACTATTCATACTCAGTTTTTACTGTTCACGCCCGAAAAGTCCCCAAAATCCTTACACTCCAGGCCCTTCTAATTAAATTATAATGAAAAAAATACCAAAACTACCGCCAATTAAAAAATGATAAAAATACCCTATAAATCCGTTAAATTGAGATAAAAAAAGTCCCTAAATTGCCCCTAGCTTCAATTAAAATACTAAATCATTAAGAGACTGTAAAAATAATAACAAACTCAAAATAAACTCCTTCAAAAAGTCAGCCTTCCCCTCCCGGATTGCCTTGTGACCTTGGATGCGGATAATCATAAAGTCGGTTGTCAAATGATGGATTGATTGGGTGAAAAAACCCATGAGAACTATCTTGACTAGTTGAAGGATTGTCTGGTGCATCAAAATGCTTCTTGATTCTTCGTACTATCATGTAGGACAAGTTACTCCGCATGATATTCAGATTGTTTTGCCGTATACACTCTATGTATTTGATTCTCTTACGTATCATCTTAAACTTTTTGTCTCTGTTGTGTTTCTGAAAGGTTATTTTCATTGACGATATTTTATTTGTCTCTCAGATGTATTCTCATATGCATTGTTGTTTCAAATGAATGCTGTGATTTTGTTTTCAATGAGTTAAATTTAAGGGCACAACAAGGCCTTTACGTGTTTCTCTTGCCATTTAACTTATGGACTAACCTTGTTCTACCAATGAGTGCACCTCCAGATAGAAAATTGTGTAAAAACTGTAGTACATCTCTAGAAAGAGATACATCGAGGAATGTTGGAGATTCTCATAGATTAATGTCAATTGTGTAAAAACTGTAGTGCGTCTCTAGAAAGAGATACATTGAGGAATGTTGGAGATTCTCATAGATTAATGTGAAAGGTGAATGACATTCTGCTAATTCAATGGCATATGACAGGATGTTTGGAAATCGCGTTCCCCACATGCTTGATAATAATTACACACCTTGCTCTGCACTCGACATCTTTGTGAAGGATCTGGTACACATAGTATCTGTTTATATGCAAATTATTCTGCTTGAGTTACTCCAATAATTGAAGTATGAATGCATGATTGATACATAATTGAATTGTGATTGGTGCATATTGTTTTCAGGGCATTGTGCTGCATGAAAGCAGAACCCTCAATATCCCTCTTAATGTTTCAAGTGCTGCTCATCAACAATTTCTGTCAGGTTAGATTGATGAGGATGGGTATCTTATTTGGTATTTGGATGTTTCCAAAAGCATACCAAAACTATTTTCTGATGTTTGCTATGGCACCAATTACTGTTTTATTTTCTTTTGTCAGATGTGATTTTACTCTCTTTAGACAAGGTTTAAAAGATGGCCATTATATAGGGGATAGCAGCTTTTATAATGCTGAAGGTTCCTTTTGAGTTATGTTGTATAAGGTTAGATGGTGGGAGGTCAGAAATGGTTTGCACTGTAAAGAGTGCCCATTATTTTACTTTAATGACACTGTTATATGGTTAAGCGATTTCCAATCCAAATAATAAGGTAACTCTTGGAAAAGAAAATAATGGCACTGTGATGTAGGAAAATTTGAAGAACAACATAAAATAGCAAGACTTTTCTGCCAAACACATGCAAAATTTGGAGAAACCCTATGGTTTCTTTCTCACACCCAAGCTAGGGTTCAAAGGTCTAGAGCTTTTCCTCTCTTTTCGGAAAACAAAGTCATGTGGAATGACGCCTCGAGGCCCCATGCACCTCTTAAATAATAATATTTAATGTTTAAGGACATTGTTCATGTAATAATTAAAAGGGTGCAGTTTGTATAGAGCCAAGGCTCTAAACAATCAAATTTGAGCCCACCTTCAAATAGTATCAAGATATTAGAAATTTTTGTAATAGCCTTAAAATATATTTTGATCTTTAATTATAAAATTTAAACCTTCAAAAATAGTGTAGATTGAGTAGATCTATGAAAAGTTGAAAATCTTGAAAATTGACGGTCAAAAAATGCGTGAGCCTAAGCTTCAAAACTTGACATCCATTTTGTTCTCATGTCCATGCATCTTGATGTCGAGATGATCAATTTGATGTTATTTGGGTATCAAAACAACCTCATCTAGTGAAATTTTTGAGGTAGGGTCTAATTTGATTGTTCAGAGCCTAGGCTCTATATAAACTTTTCCCTAATTAAAATGACCCCAAAAGTCATAACTTAAAAGAAAATTTGTAATGACACTTTTCCCTTAATAAAACAAGTAATTCCATAAGTATTCTAACCACTTATCTTAAAATCCTTAAAAAACATAAAAAACCCCTAGAATCCCTAAAAAAACTTAAAACCCTAAAAAAAATAACGCTAGAAAGTTCCACATCATTAAAAATTAATAAGAGAAATTTAAAAATTAGAGGCCTCTTGTTGTGCATCATTCTCCCTTTGTTGAAAAAAACTCGTCTTTTAGTTTTGAAATTAGGCTATGATGAATATTGTGTTAGTTTCGCAACCTTCTTCAACCTGAATATTCAGAACACGATCTTGGGACTTATGGGTTATTGGATCAATCAAAGCACAACGATTACGCATTGGAACTAAGCCTTTGCAATCAGTTGACATTTCCATAAATAATTTTGAGAACCTTTCGAATAAAGGGTTATTATATTTCAAGGCAATAACTGTGGTATGTAAACTCAGTTCAATTTAATTATGATGAGTATCATGGCCTTCTTTGGAAAATTTACTTTAATTTATTTAGGGTTTTGGTTTATTTATTGTTTTAGAGTGAAAAGCCATGGTTATTTGGACTTCTAGTTACTTTAGTTATATGGAGGGTTGTAGAGAATTTAGCGGCAATTTGGTCATTTAGTTACTTTAATTTAGTTGGGTATTTTAAGTTTTTTAAAAAATAAAAACAATTATATACATAAGGGGAGAGTGGGACGTCTAACCCATAGACATTATTTTTGAAAACTTATTTTGTGAATAAAGAAAACCCTTTCAAAAGTTTCCTAAAAACTTGATTGAAAGCCATAGAGAAGGTTTCATAGCACCTCCAACGGTCCCTTCCTTCCAAGTTATCCTTCAATTTCCTGTTCTCTTCTCTCCATTCTTAATTCTTTCTTCCCTTTCCAGTGTCCTTCCACTTTTTTTTTTTCTTCCATCCCCCCCCTCCCTCGCCTTCTTCATTCTTTCCTTGCATTCCCTTACCACTTCTTTCTTTCCTTGGCCATATTTTCTTTCCCTTCTTTTTTGTCTTTCCCTAATTTCGCTAATAAAAACAAAACCCTGATTTTCTATGCCCATGAATTTTCGAAACTGTCGAAATAGTTGCAGAAACTTTCTGTATTCAATTTAAAATAATTCTTACCCCTTGCTTCTCTGGTTGTGGATTAGTTTTAAATTTTGATCGGGATCAATTTTTATTTTGCTTATTTTGTTTAAGGATGGATTTCAATCTTTTACGGATGTGAAATCTTATCAGATAGGCATTAAAATATATTCCAAAATTGCATGTTGATATTTTTTTCAAGTTTGTTTACTCAACTTTGTGGATGACACTCTTGTAAATTTATAGATAATTAATATTAGTTTAATTTGAAATGTTCTCCAAAATGTGTTCTAGAGTATTGTAATCGAAGATTAGCTAGGGGGTGATCTTATTTTACATTAGTTTTATCTCAGAGCAAGTTGTGCTAGGGTTTGAGGTCTATTTTTAAATGGTTAGGGTCTGTCCCACAGTTTTTAGGGGTCCGTTAGGCTTTAATGTGCTGTCCCTTCGTTGCTTTGTCCCTTAGTTGCTGTCCTTCATTGCAAAGTACTTAGTTTTAGGTGTTGTCCTAGGGTTAATAGAGTTTGTAAGGGCTCTGTGTTGCTATCCTAGAGCTTCCAAGTTAGGAAATTTGTTCAAGTGGCTATCCAGGGTGTAGGGAGTGTCATTCTATAGGTCTTGGAACTTTACATCGGGTTTAGGCTAATTCATATTCTATGGCTGACTGAGACATGTGAACAACGGTCATGATCGAGACAGTGGTCGCGACCAAGGCTTAGGACGTGTTGAAGTATGGGGTGTATAGAAACAAACTACCCAACAATGGATTGATCAACATTATGACGCCCTACTGCAGATTAGGGAGCAGTTGGCCTAGATTGCATAGGCTGTAGGTGTTAAGGTTGCATATCGCCCTAACCTCCTCAAGGACCTCATGAAGATGCTAGTATACGTGGTTCTAAGAGGAGCCAAGCACTAGATGAGGAGAAAGATGAAAAATATGAGGATGACTCTTATGAGGCACCTAGGCGGTACCATGGAGGATAGAAGATAGATGCTAGGGCGTTAGAAGGATCCCGAGAGTATGAGATTAAAGTTGATGTGGAGAACTATCGTGGACACTTGGATCTCGATGAGTTCCTCGAGTGATTAGAGAGTTTCTATCACTTCTTTGAATGGAATGCTCTTCATGAGGATTGGAATGTGAAGTTTGCTACCTTGAAGCTGAACGGCTCTGCACTTAAATGGTGGAAGTGACTTTAAGAGAGTAGAGTGAGGCTGGCCAAGGAGAAGGTTAACAAGCTATTCGCTTTGAAGCAGAGCACGAAAGCTATGAGAGAATACACAAAAGAGTTTCACTTGTTGGTCGTGCGCAATAGTCTCCAGGAGTATGAGCCATGGCTCAATACGCTATCACGCTGTGTTAGTAGATCCATGATCAGGTTTAGCTTCTTACCTTATCAAGTGTTGATGATGCCTATCGACTTGCTTTGGAAGTTGATACACATCGTGAATGACCTATGGATAGAAAGGAGAATCCTGAACGAGGGTCATCGAGTTCCTCTAGAAAAGCTCAAACAGTTGGATATGCTAAAGCTAGCACAACCTCTATAGCACCCACAACCAAGACCCCTACGGTTGGTGCTGGGACAAGACAAGGTATTCTTGGCCCCAAGCCACCAGATAACACTCTTAAATGCTTTAAGTGTGGAGAGGTGGGCCATGGATAGCTGAATGCCCTCATAGATCATACAAACAGAGTAATTTGGAAGAACAAGTAGAAGATGAAGGTGGCTTGGAGGATGGAGTTGATCAAGGTGAGGGTGTAGTTAGTGACATACATGAGGATGATCCTGAGTTGATAATTTCCATAGATACCCGAGGGTAGACACTTGTTATCCATAGGTTGTGATAACTCCAAAGTCCTCGAAGTTGACGGGTGGTTATGGCATAGTATTTTCCATACTACTTGTACATCAGGAGGAAGTTGTGCATAATTGTCATTGCTAGTGGAAGTACTGAGAACCTAGTTTCTCAAGAGATGGTCGAAAAGCTTCGCTTGAAGACTGTGAAGTTAGAACGGCCATATAACATCGCAATGTTTAAAATAGAAAATGAAATTTCGCGATGTCTTGTGGGTTTCTCGATTGGGACAACCTATAGGGATGTTGTCTGTTGCGATTTAGCTCCTCTCGAAGTGTCACATTTTGCTCGGCCACCCATGGTAATTTGATAGGGAAACACACCATGATGGTGAGAAGAATACCTACTCCTTCACTAAGGATAATAAAAAGATAACACTCCTTCACCAAAATGATGTGTTACAACCTAGGATAGGGTAGTGAAATCTTAAATTCCTCAGGAGGAAGAGAGGAAAGCACCAATCGTTTCGAATAGAGTGCAGTTTGAGGACAAAAGTAAGGAGATGCAGATAGTATACGCTCTTGTGGTGAAGGAAGTGGTCGAGAGTGCACCAAATCCACAAGAGGTTCACGCCCTCTTGGCAGAATTTAGTGAGCTCACTCCAAAAGAGCTTCCGGATGGTCTTCCTCTTATGAGGGAAATACAGCGTATAGATCTCATTCCTGAAGGCAGCCTCCCACATTTAGCCCATTATTGGACGAGTCCAACAGAGCATAAAGAGTTGCATAGGCAGGTCACCAAGCTGTTAAGAAAAGGACATATATGAGAAAGTTTGAGCCCATGCACAGTCCCCATACTTTTAACTTTGAAAAAGGATGGTACCTGGAGAATTTGTGTTAATAGTCACGCAATCAACAAAATTACCATCAAGTATAGGTTTCCCATACCGAGGCTTGATGACATGCTGTATAAGTTGAATGGCGCCCAAATTTTCTCCAAGATTGACCTCAAGAGTGGATACCATCAGATTCGTATTTGACCTGAAGATGGATTGGAAGATAACCTTCATGACTCATGAGGGTTTTTACGAG